GCCTTTCAACTTGACATTCGGCACCAAGGTAGTGCTCCTGCCCGAAGTGGTCTTCTCGACTTCGAGAGCTAAAAACTTTGTATTGCTTTATATTTTAGCATATATCACTTTATATATATATATATATATATATATATATATATATATATATATATATATATATATATATATCCTTGGATCTGTGCAATAGGAATTGGATCGTGATGAGATCACGATAATGAGACCGATTCACCTTTAAACACAGATCCTAAAGAATCCTGATCATAGGTTACTTGAGAGGGACATTGAGATAACCGGACATACTGGTGCGTTGTATACCCATTCATATGATGGATGCAGTTGGTCTCATAGCTGCTCGTGTGGGGATACTAAGGATACAATAAAGGTGCTCATTGGGGAATGAGTTCACTGATTGATCCACTTATAGAATGCTGAATGGTTAATGATGTCTTATTATTAAACAGTGATTCCATAGTCGCATTAGTGTATATAGTTCGTACACTTGAGGCACCAAGGATGTACTATATGCGTACTTCATTTTTTGATACCAGACTTATGTCTGGAGGTTTCAGATCTAGTACATTCGGTCATTGGAACGATGCATTGCAATATTTATGATTTGGAATGATGCATGCAATACTTATACTTTTTATTATGATGATGTATGTGATATATTGCATATGATATGAATCATGATTAAAATTGCTTTGATTTAAATTCAAGGTTTATCCCAATTATGATATTTTGAAATAAGAATGATCGCTTATCTTTGTCATGCTTTGAAAATTATTGTAAAAGGAAAAAAGAGATACAAAATTATATTCTTTCATTCTTTTTTACAATGACAAAGGGGAGATAGCTTGCACAAGTGAAGAAGATGTAAAAACTTGCTTGCTTGCTTGCACATCTAAAGATAAGCAAAACTTGCAACTTACATATTGCAAAAGGAAGCAAGAATCGCTAGCTTACACACTTCAACAAGAAAGCTATCTTGCATTCGCTTTTGAAATTTTTGCTAGCTTGTATATTGTAAACTTGCTCTCTTGAACATCACCAAGACTTGCTAACTTGCAATCTCAAGAGAAGCAATAGTGCTATCTTGCCTATCTCAAGAAGCAAAACATGCTAAACTTGCACATATAGCAAAATTACAAACTTGTAAAACTCAAAATTATTGCTAGCTTGCATGATGATAAAACTTGAGATTATGTCTATAATGCAATGATTTGATTTGTAATGTCTAAAACACTTGATAATTGAGCTTCTCCTTTTTGTTAATGATAAAGGGGGAGAAGTATGATGTTATGCATAAGTTTATGATAAAATGTTACTTGGATTTTTTAATCCAAGAGTTCCATCAATATGACATATTGATAGGGGGAGTTTGTTTAAACTCTGGGAGTTAAGATTAACTCTGACATCAATTGTTTGTTATCATCAAAAAGGGGGAGATTGTTGAATCTTGGATTTTGATGATGAAACTAATTAATAGTATTTATGATTTAATCTGCGTTATGAGTGACGTAGGAAGCTTCGATCAGGGAGAGACAATTAAAGTAGGAAGAATCATGTTGGGCTGGAGAAAAACATGTCAGAAGATTGGATGTCGCATCGGAGGATCGATCAACGTATCGACAGAAGGCTTCGGGCCAAGAAGAGCGAATATTACGCCAAGAATATCGAAGTTACGGAGGTCAACTGGCCGATTGGGTAATAGGCTGCAAGAGAGGATGATGCGTCGAAGAATCAGATGAAGCGTCGATGGACCAATGACATGCCGGACAACATAATTCATACTTAGTAATAATTATCCAGATCAAAGTATGTTTTATGTGTACAAGATTAACTTTGATAATAAGGCATAAAGCAAAATGAAGCCCGGAGTCGAGAACGAGATTTTGTTGGGAGTTCGAGAGTTCTAAGTGTTAGAATAGTTTGAGAGAGGAGTAAGTGGGGGTGTAAGGGTTATCTCCTAAACCCTGTAAAAGGAGAAAGAGCTATAAAAGGTGGTTGATCTTCACATATTGAAGGAAGATTGATAATGGATGCCGGTGGCCTCGACAAAAGAGGAATCGACGGAGTGGATGTAGGTCACAACGACCAAACAACTATAAAAATATGGTTTGCATTTCCTTTGAGCACTTTACTTTAACTGCAAGTTGCCTTCTTATTGCTTTCAAAGTTAAGCATTTCCAAAATTGGTTTTATCGTATGAAAGAGATTTTCTTAAACCGACGTTTTTACCGCTGCACTAATTCAAACCCCCCCCACCCCTCTTAGTGTCGACTCATTCCTAACAGGAAAGATGGAAACATGACAAGAAAAGAGAGTGGTCGAGGTGATAGCCACCCCTCGGCACTCCCCGAGGAAGGCCACCATATACCATCATGAGTTTGAGGCCATCTGTGATATAGTGCTCGAGTCATGCCGCTCGGCCATATCAGCCTATGGTACCTAAGTTGTATTGCTCGATCACATCAGTTTTCAAGTACCCGAACCATGCAGCTTGGTCACGCTTGTCTACAACGCCTGAACCGTGCCTCATGATTATGTCAGCCTTCAAATAACCTAAGCTGTGATACTAAGCTGGATCGATCCATCCATATCTAAGCCAAGGTACTCGCTGACTCCGACTGAATCACTACGCCCAATATCAAGCAGCACCGCTCATCCAATCAAAATCCCGATAGTCTTCCCCAACGGGCCCTGTCTACGACCGACCTCCGCTCCCAGAAATCCTTGGCCAACCACCGGTCATACCACTGGTCATCACACAAGCAAACTCGACCCACGAGATCACCCGGCGCCATGCAGAGGCCCCTCGGGGAGCGACCTGGTGCAAGCCGCTCCCTGAGGGGGGGGAGAGAATGATAGGGCACATTTTAGTATCCTGCCCTCCAACCACTGTTCATAGCCATATCAGCGTCAAGGTCAACATAATGGACCATTCTCCTCGATCAACGTTGTCCCGCAAAAGTCGGGATGGTGCCAACCGAGTATAGCACCGACCCGTAAAAATCAGGATGACGCCGACTAAGTACAACGTCATCCCGCAAAGATTGGGACGACATCAAGTGCGAGGCGACGGTTCGACGTCATGGCACTAAGGATGCCCAGCATCTGCTCCAAGAGGAAGCCTACCACCCAATGGGTCGACAACCATAAATATGGCTGGTACGGTCGGTCCCTGGGAGAAGGATAAAAACCAATCGCGGGGTCGACGATAAGGATTGGCTCTTGGCTCATTTTCCACCCAGTTCTAATAAAATATTCAGAGGGATCAAAATCGAAAACCCCCTTTCCGACCTCGACCTGTGTGTAGGGACCGACAGTAAAACGGAGGGTGACTGACAAAGAGTCTCTAGATCTCGAATTCAAAGCCTAAGCTCGACCCTATCGGATGATGACTCCCACTGTCCGAGTACCGATATGAATGATCTTACACACCCGGGACTGAATTAAGCCATGCTGTCCCCTCAACCACAACATAAAGGATCACTATCACTATTCAAAACCTTTGTCATCTCAAAGCAACTCAAGTATATATAACTATGCACGAAATAATAACAAAGTATTGCGACCTTTATAAGCGCATAATGGGGATATTCTCAACCCTTCCCCTTTTCCCTCGTAATGCTGAGAGAATATTTGCCTTTCCACATAAAAAGGAGTGCTTTCGGAATCATATCCTTCTTCATATGCCAAGGCTTCCATAGCTTTATTGGGACCTTCCCGACGTGCATTCCTTTTCTCATACAATCAATTAATGAAACTTGTAGATGACACTAAAACTTGTAGGAACAAAGAGATACGTTTGAGCTCATATCACACTTAGCTCAGTTCTCACTCCTACGGATTCCAACCCTTTCTACATCAAAGCCTTCTTTGGCAGAATCATCATGTGATGTTCAAGAAATGCGAATTTTGTCGCACGATGAGGTGTTGTATTCACTTGTCGTGAACGGCACTACTGAAACCTCTATTCGTGCTCACACCATAGCATCCATCCATCGCCATCTCACGAGTTCAATTTAATCTTGTCAATACCCATCGAGAAGGTAATGCTACAACAAAAGTAATGGTTCTAATGGGTAAACCTAATTAGGATGCGTCTCTTTGCTTGCAAGCCAAACCCACTTACTCCTCCCAGGAATAAAGACGATCGAGCTGTATACTTATTACTTATCCAACATCTTTAATGGCTTTACTATGTCAATCAGTGTTGCTTGATATGTATTTATATCTAATTTTCCAAAGGACCACAACTTGTGACCACTATGTATTGTTGTTGTCGTTGTTATCCTCATACCATCTGTCACCATCATATCTGTCTCATTTTCTAGAGAAAACTTGTACGTCTCTTATTTTACGATTTCCTCAGATAACTCATTTCGATCTTATAATTGACAGATCGAGGACTTGTTCTATCATTTACCTCTTAGGGTTTCTTGTCTGACAATTCCAGAGTTGTTCTTGATTCTCAATCAAATCAATTAGAGAGAAAAAAAGAAGCAATATTTCATAGGTAATAAGAAAAGAATACATGCACATTTCTCCAAATTTAGGTAGCTGTTGTTGTCATCGATGGTCATTTGACATCTGTTCGTCAAGCATACTTCCTTTAGAGGCATCGGTTTGAGTGGGCCAAAGCTGGGGCATACCAACCACTGATCTCTGTGGAATGGGGCCGAGTGCTGCCTCACCTTCCCCACTTATCGTAACCCCAGAAAGCACCGCTAGGCTCCTCTGCTACCCGCCATGGATGACGGGAAAGGTGATAATAATGATGGTAGTTTAATTGGAGGACACGCCAACCCACACTTGATGATGCCAGGCTTGCTTTACGATCGATCAGTGGACTCTGATGCCTCCTCCAATTCCACTTCATGATCCCAACGTACACACATGAAAAGCATCCAAATATTATATGTACGTACACGCAGTGGGCGTGTGCATGAAGAGTCAAAACCTTTGAGCCAATGGCATGTAGTATTGACAGGATGGTAAGTGAAGAAGGCTACGTCGGCGAGGAGGAAGCCTTTCATGGCGTATGGCGCATCGCGTCGCACGTAGCGGCGCCCGCGAACGCAACCCTCCGCCCGCTCGCGGGGCCCACAATGGGACCCACAGGAGCAGTGAGGGCCCCACCTCGGTGTTCCTTTGGGGCTCTATATAAACCCGCCAGCCCGCACCTTCTTATCCTCCGCCCTCTGTCCGTCGCCCACCGATTCGTGAGTCGTTCCGAGTTAGAGCTTCCCAAGAGGGAGAGGGAGAGGGAGAGGGGGAAGGGAGCGGCACCGGGGCTCGTCACGAACTGGCTAACGGGAAAGGAGAGAGCGTGGAGGACCGCAACAAGTGGGCAGTGCTCACGCTGTATGAGGCCCTGAACGCGCGGGACGTGGAGCGGGTGCAGCAGCTGCTGGCCCCCGACATCGAGTGGTGGTTCCATGGCCCGCCGGAGCACCAGCACATGATGCGCATGCTCACCGGCGCGGAGGAGGAGGAAACCGCAGCCACCTTCAGGTTCCAGCCCGAGCGAGTCGCCGCCTTCGGCTCCACCGTCGTCGCCGAGGGCAGAGCCCCCAACGCCGCCTGGGTCCACGCCTGGACCGTCGCCCCCGATGGGATAATCACCCAGGTCCGCGAGTACTTCAATACCTCCCTCACCATCACCCGAGTCGCCGCCTCTTCGGCTTCCTCCAAGGAACCAGCAGGCTCGACACACTGCCTTCACCTGTGGCAGAGCCGCCGCCCCGTCCCTCCCGAGAAATCCTTCCCCGGCCTCGTCCTGGCCATCTAAGCCACTACAAACAATCCTAAGCCGTAAGCCTAATCATTCTAAATAAAGAGGGGTGGGTGAAAGTTCCATGGGCTGAGAGGGAACCCCCACTCCCCGTTGTTGGGATCTGAGTCTGTAGCGTTGTAAGGTCTGCGTGTAGTTTGCTTGTGTGTCTTCGTTTGTATCAAAGAGTCCGAGATGAGGATGATGATGATGAGGGGAAGAAGACGATTCCTACCTTCTGTATGCTTGTTTGGTTACATGCTGAACAAAAGATGTTGCTTTAAATCGACCTGTCTGTGTCTGTGTAGAAGGCAGAAATGGCTTTCATGAATTCGGCGAAGGATTACAAAGAAACCATATTAATCACATGAAGAATACGTGAGAAAGATTGAGAGATGCCGACATGGAGCAGAGCGATCAAGGCAGCCGACACACGTGGACGGTCCGCATGCGATGTCGCAGCGCTGTCCCCACTCGTGATAGCCACAACCACTCGGGTGCGAGGAGAAGATTCTCGATGCCGCAAACATGGAAATGTCGATGACTCTTAGAAAAAAAGACAATAATAATGGTAAAAAGACTATTATTATTATATTTATATTATATCAGTTCATAAAATACATCGATTTACGATTATAATACGTTTATGGATGTATAGAAATATACTGTAAATATTACAAAAGTAAGTTATTCTGGAAAGACAAGAAAGGTATGAACATTGATGGGAAGATAAAAAAGAGAATTCCTACATAGAAAAGTACAAAAATGAAAGATTCGTCTTGTAGGGTTGCAGAGAAGACGATATGCTCACGAAAGCCCCAAGTTGCTCCCATTATAAGCTTCTCCCCATGAGTTTCTTGCCATTCACTGAGGGAATCATGACAGCCTTGTCTCTTTTATGCTAGGTAGAGCCACATGTTTCTGTCCCCCTGTCATCCAATGATGCATGGAACCTCAACTTTGTGGGTGGGACACCTAAATAATTGCATCTAAACCAATAATGATCCCAATGTTTCCTACGTTTCGTTCTCTCCAAGAAAAGAATCATGTTGTGGGTGGATAGTGCACGATCAGTGTAAGCTTTATTCAACACTTTCTGTGTGCTTGTCCATTTTAGCTTTGTGATCACTGCTTCCTCATCTCTGATAACAAATAAGGTGTTAAGAAACACGATGAAGTGTCGATTCTTAGATAAGTGGAGGACGTATGAGATAAGAAGGCTGAGAAAGATACAACAGCTGTAGAGGTTTAGCAGCTCAAGCGATCGTCTGCATCAGCGAGAGAGAGAGAGAGAGAGAGAGAGAGAGAGAATTCATGACAGAAGAATAAAACAATGATGGAGGTGCAAGGAAATCCTACTTTAACATC